TTTGCTGCAGCAGGCTCTGTTCTGCCTCTCCATGGGGCCCTAGGAGGGGTGCAGAGATTGCCATTAGACTCTCAGGATAGAACAGAGAGGCTGCACACCCCAGAAGAGTCAGCTTTGGAGGGGCAGGGACAAGGCTCACATGCCTCATGAAGTGACAAACAAGAGACAGGGATGACCGGGCATCTTACAGCCAGACCTGGAGCTGCCTTTGTGGGAGGTCTCCCAGAGCCAGATAGAGCCATGAGGGCAGTGAATGGAAGGGAAATGAAGTCACTCCCTGCAGCTCTCCACAGCTTGTTCCTTGCCCTAAGCACAAACACGCAAGAAGTCCAAGTGTCAAGCCATTGCATCCCCAACATTTTGCTTTCTGGACTGCTGTGGGAACAGGCTTATCAACCTGCACAGCCCCTGGAGCTGTTGGCTGGGAGCAGGTGAAAAGGGAGGCCAGCACTGCTAATCCTACTGCAAACACTAGCAAGAAACCTATGGGGAACGGCTAGAGATGAGAGAGAACTCCCAACATCTGAGAGTCTCCTAGCTGCAGCAGGAGTGTCACCAGGCCCAGCCTCACAGGGCCTGCCTGGCTGCTGGGGGAGGCAGGGGGCACCCTGCTCCAGACACTGATCTTGCCCTTCCTGCATTCTGGGCCTTCCTACTATCTGAAGCCTCCCTGGATGCAGTCCCTGCAGCTGCTTAGGCCTTGGATTCAGCTCAGGCCTTAGATTCAGGTCCTGGAGTGCGCACAACTCAGGAAAGCCCCAACTAGATGACATGGACTCTCTAATGGCTCTCAGATTCCCCTTTGCAGAAGTTAACCCATGTTCCCTGGCTACATTTCTCTTTATTCCCTAGGTGCTCCCCTGATACCTGGGCACACCAGTTCTTCAGCAGATAGACTCCCAGGTCCTGGCAGCAACAGGGGCAGCAGCTACAGGCACCAAACTCTGTGGCGACAGGGCAAAGAATGTGAAATGATTCCCACTGTATGAAAGGGTTGCCTCTGATTCCCTGGCACCAAGACTAATGATACAAAAAGAGTTATCAACTCAGGTTTAGTAATAGAGGAGTCCAAGTGCATTGTTTACTGCTTAAGGCATCGTGAGCTGGCGACCCCGAGAGGGTCCCTTTGTGAGGGCTTGTCCACGTGTTTGTGCAGGACAACACGGTTGAGTGTATTCATGCTGACAAGCCGAAAACAAAGTAGGTAAAAGGCCAGATTCTTGGAAGAGCTGAGCACCCTAACCTACTGTCGTTTCCCCTGGCACTGCACAGCACCATGGAAAACAGCCTGGAGTAATGTTGACAAGGCAGCTTCAAAGCCTTCGACTTCGACTGTTCTGACCTGAGTGAGTTGTCTGGGGCCACAGAACAAGTTGCTGTTGGGGCCAGCCATAAAACCCTGGCACCTGCTCAGGCTCCTAGACCACCAAGAGCAGAAGCAGGAGCTGCTGGCACTGCAGACGCCTCTTCTCAGCAGGGCGGTTGTCCCTGAGTCAGTGAGACTGTGGCACCATCCAGCATCAGCAGCCAGCTTGGCACAAACCTGCAACTTGAAGCACTAAATATAACCTGTATGCTGAGCTCTTGTTCTACCACCCAAGGCGCCTCCATGCATCACAGCAGCTATTTATGGCAGGGACTTTATTTATACAGGCTCAGTATAGTTTCTGCTCATTTCAAACCCTTTCTATAATGTCTGACGTCACCTGCTTCGTGTGAGCACCAACATGGCTGCAGCAGGAGAGGCAGGCTAGTTGGGGGAGGGGGACAAGAGACTCAGACACCCCAGATACACCATTGGCCAGATACTCTTCCTTTGGCTTGAGCTCTGTTGCGACCTCCAAAGCCCAGGGAGGAAACGATGCTTCCAAGCAAACATGGCACATCCCCCTGGCACCTTCACACCCTTTAACTGCTGGGGAAGCTCCTTTAGACCAGCATCATCTTGTGGGAGTGGCCAGAAGATGCTCAAAGGCAGCACTAGGGGCTTCTTCATCCCAGGGGAGCAGAATATCTTGGAGGAAAGAGCAAGGGAGTCAGTGTGAAATGCATGTTTGGCCCAGCACTACAGAACTGTTCCCTGACCTCACCCAGCACTGACTCCCAATGCAACCTGTCCTACTGGAATATGCATCCATGTCTGCTCCACACTCCACAGGAAGCCACCAAGCCAGATGTCCTTGTACAGCATTTCTAAACCCGTGGGTCGCAACCCAAAAGTGGGTCACAAGACTGTATGAAAGGGTCGCGAACAAACTTTAAAAATGGCTGCTCCTTTAATTAAAAGAGAAAAATGTGGGAAACCATGCCCCACACACTGGGGGGCTGGGGCCTGGGATGAGGGCAGCGAGTCGGTACTGACCATCAATGTTTACAAATGGTTTCTGGTTAAAAAAAAGGTTGAGAACCACTGTCCTAGTAGCTTCACCAACCACCAGGAAGCAGAATCCTGCTGTGAGTCATTTCCCCAGCACAGCATCCTCCCATCTCTCACTCAGATGCCAGCAAGGAATGATGGCAACAGAAGCATATCGAAGCTCCCTGCACCCTGATAACCAGATGGAGACAATCCCAGTGTCCCAGCCTGGCCAGTGGCCCCTTCACAGAGCTATCACAGAAGTCTGGAGCTCATCTGGTGGCAGGCAGGGAGAGAGAGGGGCTTCAGGACTGCAATGCATTAGCAGAGCTGCAAGGGGGATAGGGGTATGCTGACCTGGGGTAGCAGCAGGGGCTGTGTGGGTCAGGACTTTATCACCAGAGCTGTGTGTAGAGTAGCAGGATGAAAATGATCCCTAGAAATATTAGACAGTGCTGGAGCAAATCCAGGCTGATCAAATTGGGTTGCAATATGTTATGTTCCCCCTCAGGGGAGTATGGGATAATTGGAGCCAGCTAATCTGTTCATGAAATGTACTGTGCACATCTGGAGGAAAAGAGCTAAGAAAGGAAAATCCTGCTCTCCCCCCTCCTTACAGTGCCGGATAATCCCTCATTCTCACTGTCATCAGGGCACAAATGCTTCTAAATTTGTCTGGCGCCTCAGGGAGCAGGCCCTAATAAACCAAATTAGGACAAATCAGCCCCATGGCCCCAGCTCATATGCCTGGTTTTCACCACACTTCCCAGGAAGGTGTTTTCATGACTGCTCAGGGCTCAGAGAGCCAAGAGGACTAGGATGGGCAGCATCCTGACTGCAGGTCAAAGATCCCATCCACTCTCACCCCACAACCAAGGGAAGGATGAGCATCTGGTTGAACTCAGTCAGCTCCTGGCCCCTGTCTGCCTGAAGTACTCCCATGGGCACTGCTAACTGTACTGTGTAAGCACCTCATTGTTTTTAGTGGCTTTGTCCTCACAGCTGCTCTGTGAGATTGGGGAGCGCTGCTATTTCCAGTGAGAATGAGGCAGAGAGAGACCAAGTGACTTGCCCAAGGTCACACAGGAAAGTGGTGTCAGAGCAGAAAACTCATACTGGGTCTCTCACATCTCAAGCAAGCACTGCAAACCAGACTATCCATTTATTCTGTACACTTCCTCAGCACAGGGTATTATACCCTGAACCCCTCAGAGTGTGAAGACCAAAGCCTCTCCCTCATCAGGCCCTTCCTGACTGCCGACTGACAAATCATCCCACTGAGCTGGGAGGATTCAGCAGGACTTGCTTGCCAAGCCAGGTCCAGCTTTTGCCTCTTGGCTCTGTCCCACAGCTCCCAAGAACATCCTATAGTCCATGCTCAGCGCACCCCCTCTTGGACCTAGGCAAGCAGCACTAGACCCCAGCACTAGACTTACCCTCTTCTTGTATACTTCAGGGCAATACAGGACTCCATGAAAGTCAGTGGAATTACACAGGGGTTTAAAGGGCATGAGCCCTGAGGACAATCCAGTCCCAACCTTTGTGTCACTTATTGGAGAAGAAGTGGTGGTGTCTGAGCTGCTGGGAGCACCGTGACATGAGCAGGATACTGGGTAGATTGTCCCTCAGTTGGCTACCCATATTTAGCCATCCTGGACAAGTTGAAGACTGCTGGCACTTGGGACCAAGTGCAGGGCTATTTACTTTAGGGGACAGAGGGAGGCAAGGAGAAGTAATGTCTGTCTTTTGGGCCCTCTGACCAGACAAGCAGAGGCAGCCCCAGCAGGAAGGACAGCACCCAGCACAGAGCACAAAGCAGGTCTGGGCCACAAGAATGGCCAGGACCATGGGGGTATTCCCAGGAGGTAGCTGGGCACAAATCCATGAGGCCTCCCTGCTGTGGAAAGGCTTAACATGCCCACAGCCCCAAGAGCAGGGAGGGAGGGAATAGGCAGTTAGCAGTGAAAGAGAACGGGGTTGTGGGATACCTGTTATGGGGGAGGGAGGGTTGTTCCTTGGATGGAGGGACCCCTCACTCTGTCTCTGAGGGCATTGTGGTCAGAGGCTGGAGGCGACAGGATACCCTGGTTGAAGAGCAATGCTGGACTTTAGGGGGATATCTAAAAAGAGACAGGCTTGATGGAAAAGGAGCAGAAAAGACCAAGCTCAGCATGATACTACAGATTGCTGGCTATTAAACCAAAGGCCTCAATTCCCACCACCCCTCCCCATCACCCATACTCCAGCCACAGCTAACACCTAGGCTTACCAGGGGTTCAGCTCCATCCCACTAGCTCTTCTCTAAAATACCCCTACAGAGACATGAGCTGAATGGGGGGCAGATCCACCCCAGAATAATGGACACTATATTTCCTCCCCCTTTAGCACCCTGGACTCATGGCCCAGATTTCTCCCAGGGCAGGATTTTAGATGGGATGATGGTGTCCGGGATGGTGCATGCCAAGCTCCTGTTGCATGGCAGGGCCTGCTGCCCTGGCAGGAAAGGGCTGATATTGTTTTGTGATTTCCTCAGGGAATGGGATGGGGAGACCTAAGGGGATCCAGGACTGGCTCGGGCACCTCCCTTCCCTGCATTTGTTGCCCCCCCCCGCCCCCCCAGTGGTGCAATCAGGGAGTCTCTTACCTGTAGGACACCTGCTTTCTGATGGTCAAGTGCAGAAACTGCTCCTCCACCTGTGTCTCTGCAGCAGGACTAGCTGCAGCCCTCGGTCCTTTCTTCTCAGTCCATCCAGGGTCCCAGTCATGGCCTAGCTTGGCCTCCCTGGCTTCCACTGCGCCAGGTAGGTTGGCCTCAGCTCCTCTAGCCACCTCATCTTCTTGGACTGGGGCACAGCCTTGCCAGCTCCCAGGAGCTTCAGCCATTCCTAAGATCTATATGACCCTCCACCAACCCAGGAGAGCCTTGCTCCTGCTGCACACACGGCCCAGACAGACCAGCCCCACGGCGCTGCACCTGACTTGTCTTGCAGGGGGCCTCAGAGATGCTTCTGAGGTGGCTTGTCCCAGGAAAATGCACAGTCTAACTTTTTTGCCAACCTTTTTTACCCGCTTGCTGGATGGAGTCAGTGCAGCGCAGAACAGTTGGCTCTGCCTCAGGCTGTCTCCTCTTCTCCCTGGAGGATGCACACCAAAATCCAGATGTGAATATCCCAGACACCTCAGTGGCACTGAGATTCTTGTCCAAAATCCACCTGCTGCTGGGAGGGCGAACAATGAAGGGGCCAAGGGGAGCAGAAGCTGGATCCTGCTTGGAAAAAGAATCTCAGGAGGCAAGAGATCTCCAAAGGGCAAAGCTCTCTCACTCTGCAAAGAACAGTGGGCTCCCCTCTGCCTCTGTTGGGATTCAAAGCTGAGTCTCCAGGAGTTGGACCCTTTACCTCAGTGTCTCCTGCAAGACGAGCCAAACTCAGAGGCAAAAAAGAGACAGCAAGGAAGGTGCCCGTGCATAGATCCTGCAGCAGCTGCAGCAGCCAGAAGACAAAGCAGAGAGGGAGAGAGAGAGAGTGGGGGGAAAAGGGCTGTGCTAGTGCTACACCAGAGTGTGGTGTCACCTTAGAGACACTCAGAAACTGGCACTTAACCCTTCAGAAACCAGCAAGGCAGAGAAGCCTGGGAAACGTGCTCATTCCTCCGTGCTCTTGGATGGGGCATTTCCAACTGACACACTCTCAGGGAGGCGAGATGAAGCCATTTGCTTTAACAAGAAATGCAAATGCAAATATGGTCATGTTCCATTTGCCTGAGAAGCTGCTTAAGAGCTGTTAAAGTGTAACAAAGAGACACGCTGCTCAGTTTTCTGCCAAAGAGCGTCCAGCGTTCCTGTCCACTAGCAGGTAGCTCTGCAGCTCCCTCAAGGGCAAGCCCAGTTCCTCCTCCTCCTCTTTTGTGCTGAAAAGTCCTTTCTGGTCCCAATAACCTGGATAACTTGAGGAAGCCACTTCTTGCTCCCTTGAGTAACACTCCCTGAAGCAGAAGGGGCCTCCTCAACTCAGTCCTTCCCTGTCTGACTGGACACACAGTCCCTTCACATCAGGTTCGGACTGGGTTTTATACCTCTGGTTTGCGGTCACTGGCTCCATCTTTGGCCGGATCCTGCCTTGGGCAAGCACATCCTGCTGCACTGAGATATCCATTGGTGCGAAAGCACCCTACAAGGCCTCCGTGCCAGCTCTGCCAGTAGCGATTTTGGATTCGTTCTGCCCACTGACTCCTGTGCTAGCGTTGCAGGTGCTGGTTTGGCATCATGGGTGTTTGCTGCCTCACTGGGATGTCTGTCCATCACACATCAGCTTTGTTCCTGGAGCCACCCCACCTCACCACCCTTCCTGCTTCCACCCACTGCACTTCCCAGTACACTCATCAGTCATAACCCACTGAGCTCCTGCTTGGGCCAGCCCTACCAAATCAGGTCACTTGTGAGGATGGACAGAACAGGAGTCAGCCTGAGCTTGTCTCCAGCCTGCTGTAGCCCTTTCAAATCCCAGGCGCTCTTACTGCTGCTCCTTTCCCCTTTCCAACACCTCTTCCTCCAGCACATGGCTCCTTCCAGAGTCTATATGAAAGAGCTGTCAGCAAGTGGCTTGAGGTGCTGCTCCCACACCCATGCCTGGCTCAGATACAGACTGAACGTTCATACAAACCAGAGCCAGACAAACCCAACCCCCTTCCCCAGGAACCAGGACAGCGCCAATCCTGACAGTCTGGTTACCAGAGCTTTGTCCAGCCTTAAATGTCACTAGTGACATTTCCCTCCTCAGGGCTTACACCTTGGAAACACCCAGGCACAGCGAGCAAGGCAGGGCCCACCCCCACACTTAGTCGTGACTTGTCTTGTTGCCAAGCCCCCCCCCCATTCAGCTCTCCTCCTCTCCCTGAGTGAATCAGCCTCTCCAGCCCCCACATGGTTTTTGTTCCCCTTATCTGGATCCCCTCCGGCTTATCTTTTCCTGAGCTGCATTTGCCCGGTGGATTCACACCTGGAAGCCTCTTCCGCTTTCTCTCACTGACAACAAGCTCAGTGGCCTCTTTGTTTGCCAAGCCTCTGATCTGATTACGGGCTCCTCAGCCTGTTCCTTATTTACCATGAGGTGTGGTTATATTTTATTTCTTCTTCTTGCTCCCCACAAGAAGTCTTGAAATACAGACTATTGGAGCTCATTAGAAAAGAAATAGACCTATTGGCTGGTCCTGAGCTCCCTGGGGCTGAACACAACATCCCTAGAGGGGACTTCCAAAGAGAGACAGACTCTGAAATATGAATCTCTTGTGCATTTTCCAGCCACCTTGCTGCAAACTCCTGCTCTATTTGCTGCCCCCACCTCTCCCCACCCAGTGACTCTGTGCTCCCTGCATCTGAGTTTCACATTACTTTTCTCAGCCACAGTAGCTACATTTCCCCCAGCAGAACCTCACCTCTACTCTGGCTTAACTGTATCCCTTTGGGGCCCTCCGTGGGATTTCTCTGCCTTCACTAGTGTTCATTTCCTCCCCGCTTGGTATCATCCATCCTATTTATCACCCCCTCTTTCAGCTCACTGACAGACAGGCCTGATAATATAGTCCCATCCATGACCCCAGGCTTTGCCTCAGCTCCATACACTAGCACTACCCTTTGCTAGAGCTCCCCAGCTGGTTTTTATGCTCTTAGAGAGAGTCAGACAATGGAAGTCAATATGTTGATGAGAAACTATCTCTGGCAGCCAGCTGGGTTACACATTACCTGGCTTCTTGGATCCCCTCCATTTGGGATTTTATTAAAGGAAGTGACTGAGTGTATGGGGCACAATCCATCCCCACAAACCTTATCACAGTGACTGCCCCTGGCTCCATCACTTCCCAGGGAGACTGCCCATCCAGCAGCACATTCCCTACTAGGTGAGGCAGGTGCAGATTCACTACCTAGGGCAGGGGGTTACAGACATAGCACTCTTTGATCCAGGTTTCAGCATTGCCCATGAAGGGGGGACTGGATGGACGGACAGACTGACTGTGTTTGGAGTTTGCTCAGGTATTATCTTGGGTAACATTAGCTAGGTGTGGGCAAAATGCAGCCCGCAGGCTGGATGCAGCCCACCAGGCCATTCTATCTGGCCTGCGGGTCCCCTAAAAAATGTAGAAAATTAATATATATTAATATATATGTGGCCCTTGATGGCTTGCCAAAAGTCAGTAAGTGGCCCTCCACCTGAAATAATTGCCTGCCTCTGCATTAGACAGTTGCAGTGTCTGCAGTGGTATTCCTAGGACAACTGGCAAAGGGGCAGTAAGAGCTCAGGTTACGCTGTTCCACAGTGATCTTAAGAGAAGCCAGCTCCCTGATGTGTCCCTCAGAGGTCTGGGCCATATTCAGCTCTGTGTTCAGTCTCAGGCATCTTCTTGCCAGTTCCAAAACAAGCTGGGGTTAATCCTATCAGACCGTGCCTGAGCAAACCCCAGCTCTGCCCTTCTTCCCTGCTCCATGCACACCATTAGGTAGCACTACATCCTCCACTATTTACAGGAGACAACTACAAAAGAAAGTGGTGCCTGTAAAAATAGCTATGAGATAATTAGCCAGTAGATGACACTAAAGATTACATAGCATTGTGCTGAGTTTTACAGGACCAGTAAAATTTGTGTGTACTGAGAACAGCTACCAGGAGGCAATTGCTAACAATAGCCACAGGAAAAGGGGCAGGACTGTTTTCAGGGGGAGATGCTTATGGTTGCTAGTCCTGGCATTTCCTACCAGAAGACACTTTATGGAACAGAACAGGAACACTGGTAGTGGGAAAGTTCCCAGTTACTCCCTTCCTAGGCTACCTTAGTGAATGATGTTTGGGGGTTTGGGCATTGGTGGTATAGCAGCTCATGGCTACTACAGCTCCTGCCTTGCTCAGCAGGAGGTGCTATTGAGTGTCTAAGTTTATCTATTTAGCAATCCCTGGAATTATCTCATTAGTGCCTTCTGTGCAGTGACATTTTGGCTAATGCCTGTGCTCAACATCCTGAGCTAATTAGACAAGTCACCTGCGGTGACACCAGGGGTGTGATTTCCATTTTCCCTGGGAAGGCTGAGTCAGCGCTAGCTGAGGGTGGCTGCCTGTGACATTTCTCTTTTGCTGGTGATAACTATATTGAAGCCCTGGCTACAAACAGGAGATTCTGGGGAGGCTTGCTGGAGGTCCGTGTTGCAAGGTCTCCTGAGTTACGTGGTGAATCAACTGCCTGATGTTGAAGTCTCAGCTGCAGAGGATCTTTGTGAACAGCTGCTTTGAATGAACATCTCAGCAAGGATGAGAGAGTAATAGGGGGATAAACACACTCCCTTCATTTTTACCGCACCTATTTATGTGTGGAAGGGCTTTGCTCTCTCCAGGCTGGGTTCTTACTCAGGCAATAGAGAAAGAACTCTTCCTGTACAGGGAACCCAGGCCTGGCCTGTGTGTACCAAAGGGATGACAAAGAAGAGACAAGTAATTTAACACTCAGTGTAAAAAGCAAGAAAGAATGGGGCTTCTGGAGGGTCTGTGCCAGCTGCAGCCTTCTCAGCTGAAGGAGAACAGAACCAGTCAGGTCAAAGTGTGGGAGTGAAAATTGTGCAACTTGCTGTATCCTGTAGCTTCCCTGAGGGAAGTAAGCCTACCTTGGCCTTCAGCAGAAAGCAGCTCTAACATGAGACTCCCCAAGCAAACAGCCTTTAAAGACAGATAATAAATGCTGCTGGGAGGATGGGTGTGCTCGGGGACAAGACAAGGTCTGAAGATCTCCTCTCCTTTCTTCCCCATCCACAGGAGACTGGTAGAGGGGACACAGGGCAGGGAAAGTGGCCCTCCCTGAGATTGGCCCCAAACTTGGCACTGCACGGGATGGGGCAGTTTTTTTGCCACACATGCTGGCGGCGTGTTGGTGGGGGGCACTAAGCCACAGCACAGAAGTATAGGAATGGATATGGTGCTTTTGGCCCACCCACAAATTGTGCCCCCCTCAGACTCAGGAGGCACCAGTCACCTGATCCCATTGACAAGAGCATTGCTGAGTCAGGCTGGCTTTCTGCTTGTTGGCAGCTGCTGTATCTATGAGCAAGGCTGAGGATAGGCATCTGAGGAAAGGCAGGAGTGGATGGGCATCTGGCTGGGGTCATCTGACCCCAGCACTCTTTCCTGTCTAGGCAGGGGTTGGACTTGATGATCTGTTGAGATCCCTTCTGACCCTAGCATCTATGAAATAGGAATGGGAAGAGACAGCACAGATACTATCTGGGCTGGTCCTGCCACTTGCCTATACATTTCTGGCAGGACAGGTAGTATAAAACTTCAGGGGGCTTGATTGTGTGCACTTAGACTCTCTTCACATGCTTGCTAAAACCCTAGGGCAGGACTATCCCAAGGAAAATGCTCCAGCTCTGGCAACCTGAAGACACCATATTGGCCACCTGGTTAGAAAGATAAAACATGATTTTAAGTGGTGCCTGCAGCTTTAGGTTTGAGGTAGGATGTTTAAGCAGACTGGAGTACAGGGAGCCTGACCAGCTGACTGCCATTATCAATTAGCCTTGAGCTGGGGGGTGGCGGGGTATGAGGCTGTAATTGCCCCTTGGTTACTGAACCTCTAAGGCCTGCAGCATTCTGGGTGGCCAAGTCTGAGGCACTTGTCAGGTGGAATAGGCAGGAAATTGAATCTAATGGAGTGTAGCTGCAGGTGGCTTGTAAACAAAGACCTTCTCACTGTGTTAGAGTTCCTTGTTCTACTACAGTTAATTGCTGAGTTAAACCCTGCAGTTGGCTGGGAGGTCTAGCAATGATCAAAAGGTCCAGAAACAAATGTTTTAAAGACCTCGAGCAGCTTAATCTGCAAGCTATGAAACTCAGATGATTTTTCAAGGTGAAGGGGAATTTGCTCCTGTCAGCTAAGAACTCCAGCCTTCCTCAGCAACATCGGTTTTAAAAGGGCTAGAAATTTCCAAATGCTCCTGTTAAGAGCTCTGTTCTTGGGTCATTTCCTTGGCAGCTCATATGTGCAAATAGCAGGCAAAGATGCACTAGAATAGTTTGTGTGACAAGCTCAAAGAGATTATGAACATAGGCCCCATCCTAGTGGGACTTCCACAAGATGCAGGGAGAAGTGACATTGTGAGATGGGGGTGAAGAGGGGTGGGATTTCTCATGCTACCATGTGGTTAGGGGCTGTTTGTTTGGACAAGGGATCAGTGACCAAACTACCCCAATCACCCCTTAGGCCTAGCTCAGTCCTGTAAGTCAGGAGACTTACAAAGAAGCATATAAGGAGACAACACAGAATAAGGAATCTGAGCAGACTGCTTCCCACCAGATCTTTTCTTCTGGTGAGACACCTTGCCAGACCCAGCCTAGAGTGGACATTGCTTCAGATGTGTAGAACTGAGTGACCAGGACATGTAGCACCAGGCAAGGACACAAAGGGCAGGGCAAAAAAGAGTCGCATTTTCTTGTCTCACCATTAGCATTTAGGACCATGAAGAGGAGGGGTAGCATCCTCTCCCTTCAAGGGGACTTTGGAGAGAACCTGTGGCAGACAGTAACCATGCACAGGCCCTGTGTCGGTTACTACATACATAAATGGAAGCTCACTCAACCTTATGTGGGTAATGGGTCCATTCTGCATGTCCCCCACAACCCAGGGAAGAAAATGCTAGTAAATAACAAGTTTCATTGTCTTAAATGGGTGACATGGGTGCACTTGATCTATGCAAGAAAGAATAACAATCCTTTGTCCTTCCACAGAAAAATCTCAAAGTGCAAACATCGAACCTTACCACTCTAGCCTTCTGCCTGTGACATGCTTCAGGGAAGAATCACAACCATGTGAGGCTGCTCAGGTAGGGTCACAATGGCCTGGATGCAAACAGGACATGGAGCCCTCCCTCTGGAGCAATGCTGAGGCCATGACTAGAATGCTGCCCACGTTTCTGGGCATCTTGCTACCAGAAGGACATTGCAGCTTGCAGACAATTTTCCATCACCATCAAGTTTTCAAGAGGGGGCTAAATGAAAGGCAGGACCCAAGTTATCAGCTGCAGGAAGGGCCATATCACTCCCTAAAGTAGTCATGAATCTCTCTGGAACACTCGAGAAAATGAAAGGCCTGATTTCCTATTGGGTTTTATGCACAGGGGGGTCAAAAGGTACTGCTTTGCTCTGGTATAAATGGCTTCCCCAAGACACAGGATAATAGACTGAGGTAGGGTTGCCAACTCTGACTGAAGCTATTCTGGGAGATTGTTTTTTCCCCCCAGCATGACATAGTCATTAATTAAATTTATTTTCTTAAAATATCCTATTAAAATCTCCCGGATTGCTTTCCACAGTCACAGGGAAAACGATGTCGATTCCAGTAGACTCCTGGCCAATCTGGGAGGGCTGGCAACCCTAGACTGAGGGTGCTGGATGGGCACCATGAGCTTTGCTGCAGTTGTGCTTACTGGTAGGTACCCTCTGCTGCTCTGAAGAAGCTCTGTTACACTCATTTTGGGTACACCTGTTAATGTGCACATGCCATGCTGTACTGTGGCTCTCCTTAGTCTCGTCTGGAGGGTAGATATGCCCTAACTTTTGCCCAAATACAAGTATCATTTCTTTTCTTTTTTTAATGTAATTTCTTTGTTTTTATGCCTAACAAGGGGATTTGAGTGCAAGGAACCTTCATCTAGAATGCTACTGAAGATGTCTCTGACAAGGGGCATAAATGCAACATCCTGCCAGAGGCTGTCACAGCCCCTTATGAATATTCTATCAGAATCCTCACCCAGCCCTGGGAGGAAGGGATTACTCATGATTTGCAGGTAGGGAAACTAGGATCTGGTTACTATAGTTTGCCCACAGTCAAAAAGCAAGCTGTGGTACAATGGCAAATGAGACTGCCTACTTGTTCACACTGCTCAGAGGCTGTGTGTGAAGAGGGAGAACAGGACTTTCCAGAAGCCTGAGACCCTCTAAGGGATGATGCTGGCCATGTGCTTTGGCAAGGTAACAAGAAAATGAAAGGACCAATCCACCAAGTGCTGATGCTGCATCTTTTTTTTTTTTTTATTTTGCTTCTCCAAAGCGACTGCAGAGCAAGAGACAGGAGGGAAAGAAAGGGAGGCAAAAAAAGAGAGGCAAATGAAGGAAAAGGCAGCTGCTGGGCTACAAGGGGAAAGAAAGCTGCCAAAAGAGAGGAAGTTCATAGAGGCCAAGCCCGCTCTAACTCTTAATAAAATACAATATTGAAAATAGGATCTGAGAGTCTCCAAAATACAATATCTTAAGGGATCAGCAATAATACAAAATAAGGTTCACTATGTACAAACGATTTCTGCTCTTGGTCTCTGTACAATGGTGTCACTGGGGGCCATGCCTGAGGCTATGCAAGGGGAGAGCTGGGTGGCAATGGGAGGAGAGGGGATGCCCAGACCTGACAGTGGTTCTTTTTGCTGGGGCTGGAGTGAGGTGGCGAGAGGAAAGTGCAGTGGTATGTAGCAACTGATGGGTCCTGGACAGACCCTGAGTGAAGCAGAGTTGTTCTGTGGATCTTCCTCTTCCCCATCCCATCAGCAGTGTCCATGGGAATGTGGCTGTGGCTGGCTGTTTCCAGATTAGGTACAAGTCACTCCAGAGACAAAATGTAAAAATGGGGGAGAAGAGAGAGGGATGTGAGGGCAGTCCCCACCCTGCCCCCCAACTTGGAACCCCCAAGGGAACGCTCAGTGAGGGCCTTCCCATCTCTTCCTCCCCCAAATGTGGAAATATCTCAGGGCTTGCAGAGGGACTAGGAGGGAGGAAGAAGTGAACTACAGCAATGTGTTGAGAAGGGCTTGGGTAGGTGGTTGAGATAAGTGAATCAAAGAAGTATCTAGCATGGTGTGAGAGAACCAGCAGGGATACAGTGACTCCTATTTACAAAAGTGGGGCAACTTGGACAAGACTGGATGTTAGGCCTTAGAGTCCTGAACAAGCCTTGCAGCAAGGGGCAGTTGTGGCGGGGGGTAGAACAAAGAGACATGCAAATCTTTAGAGAGGGGCCTTTCCCGGGACAAAAATTAGTATCTGGGAGCTAATGTGAGATTGAGAGCATGGGGCTGGCTAGACTAGAAGTGAGGCCTCTTGCACACAGACAGAGATGAGGCAATTTCCACACACCAAGCTCAGCAGAGCCTGGCATTAAAGGTGGAGAGAGGTTGGTAACTTTGGTGCCAGCATCTGAGAAGGTGTCCCAAGCTCACTTGGATGACCTTTACTGAGAGCTCCCACTTCATCATCCCAAATAGCTTTTGCCACATTGCTGGGTTTAGGGAGGGGCCACTGGGCCTGTGATTCTCAGTCTGTTGGTCACAGACCTCCAGGAGCTTTCTGGAGGATCACAAAAAGGCATTTTCCAGCAATAATCAGTAGAAGAGGGTTTATCAGGTGTTAGTTTGTCTTGTGGTCTTACTCTCTCATAGGGTGGTCTCTAGAATGGAAAGTGGGAGAATCACAGGGCCAGTCTATGTTGTTCGGGGGGGGCGGGGAATGATACTATGTCTTTTGGAGCTCTGGTTTCCCAGGAGCTGCAGGCTGTATTCTACATCTATTTAATCAGTCTGGCAGCTCTCCCCCACTAAATTTGCACGCAGCTCTTTGTAGCAGGTAGGATTAGAAGTTAAGCGTGCACATCCACTGACAGAAAAATAGATCAAGAAGGAACTAGGTCTTCTCTCAGAGGCGGCAGCAGAATATTAATGAGGGGGTGAGGAGGAAATTCTCTCAACCTCTCCAGAAGACTAACCCCAAAGTTACCATCCCCTGAGCCTCTCCACTGGGGCAATAAGCCAAGGACATCCTCTATCCTTCAGATGCATCTGATGTGACCAAGGGAAGCAAAATGGGGCAGTGCCCCCTCATAAAGGAGGCTGTTGAGAGATGCCCTCTCCTCCTGACCAGGACCCAAATGAACATGCACACCTTTGGGCAAATGTTCACTTGCAGCAGAGAAAGGGGCTTTCTCCTCTGGCTTTGCCAGGCACAAGCTGGGTTTTGGCAGTCACTGTGACTCCCATCAGAGTGTTCCATACTAACAAGAGGGCACAGGCAAGAAGGGGAAGGATGAACCCAAGACCAGTTTGGGAGCATCTGAATGCAGTGTCCTCTCCCACAAAGTCTCCTCAATCACTCAGCTAGGAGGGGATCCTGCATCCAGACAGACGAGGCCTTGAGGTCCGGCAGCTGCTACAAATATTCAGCTGAGTCACTGGAGCTTCTCTCCCTAGGGGAAGGAAAAGATGATGATCAGCTGTTACTGCAGCCCCCTGTGCATTCACCATTTTCTCTCAGCCAGGGGCACTGTTCCAAACCATTCCTAGGGAGAGCAACCTTTCCTTCCCCATCCACTAAGCCCAACTTTTGCTGTAATCCCAGGAGGGTTGATCTGATGCCTCCCTTTATTTCAGTTCAGGGGCAGAGGGTGCTCTTCAAGATACTTTTTATCATCTTCTCCCTTTATTCCCCTCCCCATACCTACACACAATGCCCTGCATTTGCCCATCAGGCCTAGGAGAATGAGGAGCAAGAGGAGAGGAGAGGCGAGGCCAGACACATGTATGTGTCTTTCACTGGTGGCTTGTGCTCACACTATCTGCACTGGAAACAAGGAGAAGAACACTTTTGTGATGTGGTTTTTTCCTGGTTCTAAATCAGGACAGACTCCCACCCTGCTGCAAATGCTGGGATCCCCTTAGCTTCTCAGGTTCATTGGTTGTTATGTCAGCGTAACTGCATCCTCTCTCATCTACTCTGAGGAGCTCCACTGGGTTCTGTGTTCTCTACAGACAGGTCCCTGACCAATGCACTCTCAGGAAAATGGGTCAGGAAGGGAGCTCACCTATTCTGCCAACTGTGAGCCTCTTGTCAAAGAGCTCCCCTCACTGGGATCGAAGGGGCTGGGCCCTTTCCCTCCTAAGTCATACTTTGGTTTGGAGACAGAACCCCTGGAACATTAGGGATACCTGCTTACCTTTCATGGAACTGCTTTTTGAGGTGAGTGAGAGTTGGATCAGTCTGGTTCTGGTCTGGACCCTCCAGCTGGGACTTGCTTAGGTACTTGGCTGTCTCATGTGTCCTTGCCAGGTGGCCGAGTACGCGCTCTTGAGGCCTCCTCTCCTCAGACTGCCCCTTGTCAGTCTCCCAGCCATCAGGATGCTCCACAGGTAGGAAGGAGCTGTAGCTCTCCTCTAGAGAGCCAGCACCCTCATCGTAGAACAGGAGGCTCCGTGACTGAACTGTCAAAGAGGAAGGAGTCACTAAATGCCAAGAACAAGACCAGGTCTCAGTGGCATATGCCCACTAATCTCACTCAGCAGGTGGTAGCCCATGAATAAACTAGTGCATATATGTAGCCCATGAACATATACACACCAGCTCTGTTGCCCGGGGCAAGTGCTTGTATACAAACACACTGCCCTTGAGTATACACTCAGCCAACCCTGGATATGAGGCCCTGATTTTTCTCTCTCATCTTTTGTACTTTGGCATCTATGCTGTTTTGGTGCCACAGCAAATGGAGAATCCAAGCTGGTAAGAGCAGGGCACTGCTGTGAAGCAGCTTGAATTAATACAGCAGTACCCACAGGATGCTCTCACTACTTAAGTCTCAGCTGTGAAGAAGCCCCAACCCTTGCCTTAGCCCCAGCAGTCATCAGCAGACTCTGCTGTAAGGAAGCTCCTGCTGCCAGAATCTCAGCAGGGATGGATGGGGACCAGCTGCAAGGAAGTTTTCCCTGCCAGAATCTCAGCAGGCATGGATGGGACTCCACTGTGAGAAACACATACAGTAGAAGGTGCTATCTGGAGAAGAAGTGTTGAAGCCCTTCAGGACGAGACAGACATGTATGGTCAGACTCACTCTTACTGGTTGTATAAATGTCTGGTGCTGGGGTTGCTTTCACGGTCTGTGATGCTGAGGAGAATTCAGGGAGACATGGCATCATGGATCCCAGGACCAGAACAAAGCAGAGCACCAGCACCTGGGGGCAAAATGTTATAAAGCAGTCAGGGCAGCCAGCCACAAGGAATGTACTGATCCTGCACATGCCATGCAGGCACTGGGAGGTCATCTGGTCCAATGGGTAACTGGGTCACTTAAAATGCACAGAGATGCAAAGGATTCACTCTGCTAATCAGATTATCAGAAGGGGGTAAGTCTGGGGTACTCTTCTGCTGCTGTTTTTGAAATATCCTGTTTCACATCCACGGCTATTAAGACAGGGGCAATTTCCACATCTCATGGTGTGGATAGGAGAGGCTGTTAAAGACACTGGGGAATATTCTGGGGAAGATGGAGCCTAAACAGAAAGGATGGAGTCCACCATAACCAGCTCAGAGCCAGACTCCTGGCACAGAAAGTGGATTGAGTTGTCTAAAACAGGGGGTGGGGAAAGCTGGCAAGGATCACATCTGCTCAGTCAGGAAAAAACAGACCTCTGTCCTCATCACAAGCTATGACGGAAGTGACACAGGAACTAGAGCAGGGACAGCTTGACACCGGGGATAGATTCACCCAGTGTCAGAGTGAGGAGCTGAATAAAAGTAGACAAGTGGCCAAAAGGAAAAAAACCTCTACTGCCTATGTTAAATGTGACAAGACCACAAGTTAATTTAAGTGCATGGTGATCAGAGAAGATGGTGACATAACTGGAATCACTACAACATCATAGAAGGTCAAAAAATAATCAATTAATCAATGAACGATAGCAATTCCTGTCTGTAAACTATATGGGAGGACAGATTACATGACCGATTGGAGATTAGCAGGTACCTAAAGAGCTGCTAGAATGCACGAGAGATACCAAGTCAGAGTGGGAGGAACATGCATTACATCCTGTATAGACACAAATCTCATGTTGTAAGAATACAAACACACAAACAGTGTTACACTGCCTGCCTCCAGCTTAGAAAAAGCAGACTGTGTCCAGTGCCAAGAAAGATCAGAGGTGACAAAGTCTAATCAGACAGTAACAATGAATCATTTCTACTACAATGTGACACTTGAGTAGTTTATATGAAATAAGAGTTATGGAAGCAATTTCTTGATACCATATGCAACTATTTTTTGGAACAGAAAATTCTAGAGCTCAAGTGAGGACAGTATTTTCAACTCGGTTTGAAGTAATGCTTACCAGAGCCACTAAATAGTAATGGCCACCAGATAATTACAGGAGTGGACAGGTACCACATATTTGCACAGGGATGCTAAGTTGTACAAAAAGCGCTTTTACAAAAAGGGGGAAAAATGGGTTAGGGAAAAGCCCTAAACTGAAAAGTAAGAAATTGAAAACATCTAGATTAAACATGAAGGATACTTAAGCATGTGATCATGGTTACAGAAGGCAGGCAGAACCCTCAATAAAACAGGATTTGGGGAAGGGTAGAAAAAAAAAATATGGTAACTCAGAATGATAAGCAGTAAGGTTCAAGAAGTCAGAGAGGTATCCTGCAGAAGCCAGTTCAGAGAAGCTTAAAGTAAGGCAGGTGAAATGTGATATGGAAATTAGGAAGCTAAAGGGAAAGTCTGAAGAGATCATAGCCCCAAATAGAAAAAAAAACCCAAAACAACAAATTATTGAAATACTTCAGAAACAGGAAGCCTGCAAGAGAACTAATATGTCTGCTGGATTCCCATAGCATGAAGGGAACAACTAAGACAGATCAGGTATTGCTGAAAAGATAAATGATGCCTTTGCATCGGAAATCTCTCAGACTGACACTTTCCAGGTAATAAAGATGAATAATTGTCAGTGATTGAGGTGTTGGAACAAACTCTGATATATTAAGAAGTAATGAGTCACCAGGCCCAGATCTCTTGCCCCTAGAAGCTCTAAAGAAAGGTAACACAGTGTTGTAGCTGATTAAAAAAAATATATATATATTAAAAATATTCCCCTACAGGGAGTACTGGAGAGTAGCAAATGCCCTAGCTAACAACTTTAAAAACTTTAAAAAGGTGTTGGTAGGGAAGGAAAGGGAGGGGGACATGCTGAGAATTTCAAACCAGCTAGTCTTACTTCTGTATCAGAAACAGGAATCAATAATAAATTATAAACATTCAACCTACTAATAAGATAAGGACAGATCAGAAAAACATCTGCAAAGAAAATAAAATAGTCTCTCCAGCTGATTCCAACTTGATGAGCATCAGCAAAAGTAGTGGATAAAGGAAAACACATAGTGAGACATTCAAAAAGCCTTTGAGAAAATCCTTCACAAGAACGTCTTCAGACAGCTGCTGTCTACTGTCAGAAGATGGGAGGTGAGTTCTAACACTTTCAATGAGGCAAAACAGAGACTAAGAATATACAGTCAACTTTCATGATGGCCAAAGTTTAAAAGTGGGGTGCCCTCAACTTTCATATTAAAGCCAGTATTACTTAATATGTCAATCTGCAAAATAGGGAGGTAACAATTAGTTCGATTAGTCAAAACTAGATATGACCACGAGGAATTACAGAGGGATTTAACAAAGTTAGATGAATAGGCAGCACAGAAGCAAATTGCATTTGTTGTTGACAACCACAAGTTACACGCAGTAGAGTGTAAGAATACTTTGAACTATTCACACATCTTGTCATGTTAAAAATTAACTATAACTGTATTGTTGCGAGAGCTCAATGACACTTGCACTCAATGTGCAATGGTTAACAAAAAGCAAACAAAATGTTTGCCTGAAGAATGAGATAAAATATAATGTTTGCAACATTATAATGCCATTGTATAAAAGGAATGGTGTCCCCTCACCTGGAAAACTGCTCGTTTCTGGTTACCCTCTCTCAAAAAAGAAACAGTAGATGGAAGGGGGTTCACAGGAAAGTGGTAAGAGGTATAGTGACACTTTCATAGGACAGAAGATTAAATTAACCAGTGCTAGCCTTTTTCAGAGAGAAGACATAGAAGAAACTAGAGTTAAGTAATGAACAGTGCAGAGAGGGTAAAGCAAATATTCCAGCTGAACCTCTCTCATAACACCAGAACAAAAGGGAATTCAATGACATTCAGAGGCAAGAGATTTAAATCTGCTTAAAAGAAATGTTGGTTTTGTTTTGTTTTTTAAACACAGCACAGAGACAACTTGTAGGACTCATTGCCACAAGCTCTCCATGTGGCTAAGCGTTTAGCAGGATTTATAGAAAGAATTAGATGTTTATGCACAATGGGAGGATCCATAAAGAAGTTGGGATTAAAACTGAATTACTGACATAAACCCTCTTGCTTTGGCCCCTGCCTCAACCTCTAGCTGAGGGGGGTTCAGAAGAAACTTCCTCAGTAAGTAGTTGATTTTAATAACTGCCCACTGCAGGGCTTCTTGCACCACCTCTTAAGCATCCAGAATTGGCCACTGTAGGACAAGATATACTGGGCTAGATGAACCCTGGTCAAATCTGGAAGGGCAGTATTTCTATTGAGCCTCCAAGGTGGAAAGAGGCTCTTCTGGGCATCAAGAAAGATAACGATAATCCCTAGAGAAGATGTGTGCAGGTAAGTTTTCCTTTTTATTCCATGGAAATAAATAAGCCTAAGCAACTCCTCTCTCTGTTGGACAGAGGCACAGACTCCATTAGTTGGAAAGGGTTGCCTCAAGCAGCAAGGCATGCAAGACAGAACAGCACCTGGGGTCTCTGGGAAGCGAATGATGGGCAAGGAAGCATGGTCAATAGGGAATGAAGGACACAAAACACATACCATTAGGCAGGTCCCCGTCTGTGTAGAAGCCATTTTATAAGGTCTGGAGACCTTCCCAGTCACCAGAGCCTGGAGCTTCTGTAACTGCTGGAGCAAAGTCCTAGGACAAAAAAATAACCGAAAAGAATAGGATAATGCTAAGGCATGGATCACTGAGGGAAACAAAACTCTGGCTCCACTATGCATCATAGCTTTGCCCTGGATAAGAAGTGCTCCCCCCGCGCTCTCAAACCTTCCCACCAGATGGGCCTAAGGAGCAGACAAAAAATGGAAGTGAGAGCAGCAAAGAAACTGATGTGAAACTGATGGGACCGGGGTGGGGGCAGGATGGGACCGGGGGATGTGAACCTGATGGGACCAGGGGGGCAGGATACTTCTCATGGTGCCACCTTTGCTCCTCTGCTTTAACCTGACTGTGCGAAGAGAAGGGTAAGTGAGACCCTTCTACATCCAAAGTCAAAAACAGACTGCAGGCCAGGTCGCCCAACTGGGCTCAGTACCCAAGGCAAGATGCACATTCCAGACCCTCACTCACATCCCAATGTGCATCAGGCTGGAGGGAAAGGGGGTAGGAAGGATTTTTTTTAAAAGATCATGTTTCAGTTTCTCTTTTGGCAAAGACAGCAGAGGCTGTAGCCAAGCACAAGCATAGAGCTGAACTGAGCAAATAATTTTTTTCCCTTAGCCACACTGGCTGGGACACAATAGGTTCTCTCTTTCCTGTTGAAAACTACCACACACTCGCACAGTCTTTACTACCCCTTGCCACAGGCAGAACCCTTCGCTGGTCTGGAAAAGAGATCTGGGGTGGGCTTCTGATCCTGCATCTCGGGCTTTGTAGCCAGGAGAACCCAGCTTTCCTTTGTGCCAACTGCCCACTACTTTCTCTTCAGGACTATTGCCAACTCTTGTGATATTATGGCAAGTCTTGTGATAGTTTAGGTTTTTCATGAAGTCCCAGGGCCTGGAGTCAGGCAATTACAAAACAATCTCAGATTTCATTGGGGGGGGGGGGTCTGTTTCAGTAAAACCACAAAGCAAATATTAAAAGAATTCTGTTTCTCATTTTGCAAAGTATTAAGTTTTTTAAGCCAGTCCCATGATTGCGGGAGGGGGGCGGGGGGGGGGGAGCGCTGACTCATGATTTTTGAATGCTTGGGGCTGACAGTGCTGCCTCTAAGTCCTGGCTGTTTTTCTCAAAAAGGGAGGAACAGAGGAACAAGCTGCAGCTTATCTCATGTCCGGCAGGTGGCAGGCCTCGCCAGCCCACTGGCTTGCAGAAGTTAAAAAGGCGTTTGACTGACATCTGAGGTCTCCAGAGAGCAGCTTCCGGCCTGGAAGCTGGAGTCAAGGCCTCAGCATCAGGGGAATAGAGACAAAGAGCCTGACAGAAGATCAGAGTGAGGGCAGGGAGGCCAATAGCCCCTGGCCAGCTCCAGCTGCGTGATAAGGTCAAGTGGAGATGTGGGTTTGGTCAACAGGATCAATGACAGCAGTCTCCTCACTTTGGCAGAAGTCCCACTGTTCAAAGGAATCCCCGTGGATGCCTCTGTGGCCAGGGGGTGCATATCTAAATGTGTGTGCATGGAGCCAGAACAGAGACCTGCGAAAGGGCTTCCTACCCTAAGCTGGAGGTGAATGGGAAAGTCCCAGTACTGATACTGGATCAGCTGTACCAAAAGTGCACAGGAAAGAAGGCAGCACTCTTCCAAATGCTATTTACCACTGGTTTTGTGTGGGGATGCATCTTCCCTGCTAGCTTCACAGGAAACAAATTCCCAGAGTGGAGAGGCTGCCAGCGCTGAATACTAGGACCTCATGCTCTCCAGATTTTCAGCTAAGGGAGCCAGAGGCCTGTTTTGGGGCTTAGAGAAGAGACTCACTTTCTGAGGCTGAGAGCAGTGTCAGTGTGGGTAAGAGAGAGCTCCCTTCGTCTCAGGTGTGGGGTGGGGAGCAGCAAGACAGTCGTTGGTGCTAACCAAGAAGAGAGCTCCCA